CAGAAATCAGAGAAGGAAGAAGGAAGGAAGGAAGGAACGACGGTGGAGGAAGACGGCGGCCAAGGAGGGGTAGGAGGAGCAGGATGAGGACGACAAGCGTCGGAGGACAAGGACGACGAGAGGGAGGAGGAGGAGGAGGAGGAGGAGGAGGAGGAGGAGGAGGAGGAGAAGGAGAAGAAGGAGGAGGAGGAGCCACTGTTTGGAAGGAGGAGGAGGAGGATGCGTGGATGGAGGAGGAGGAGGAGGAGGAGGACTGGGAAGGCAGGGGGGGAAGGATGCAAGAGATAATGGGCATCACGCATCTGCGAGAGCGCGCCCGTGGTGCACTCCCCAGGGAGGGGGGAGAGTCCCCCTTAGCTACCCCCCCCCTTTTGGACCTCCCCTGCTGGCAGCCACCCCGCCTCTTTTTTCCTGCACTTCGAAAGCTACCCAGCTAGCCCCCCCCCCCCCTCTTTCCCTCCTTGCGCGCTCCAGGAGCTAACCCCTCCCTTCCAGAGGGGGGTGGTGCTTAGCTACCCCCTCGTCCCTTTTGGCACTCCCCTGTCGGAAGACCCCCTCCCGTCCCCTCGTTGGCTAAAGGAATAAGCGCCGAATGCCAAAAGGGCGCCAACAACCAACAGAACGCCGAATACCAAAGGGCCACCGAAAACTGAAAGGGTGCGAAAACCACACGCGCCGAAAACCAAAGGAACGCACCAAACCGACAGGGCGCCGAAAACCAGAGGTGCGCCGAAAACCATAGGTTGTCGAAAACAAACGCAGCGCAAAGAAACCAAAGAATCGTCGAAAACCAAAGGGCGCCGACAACCAAGAACGGCGCCGAAAACCAGCGGGGATCCGAACACCAAACATTTGCCGAAAACCAAAAGAGCGCCGAACACCAGGTCAGCGCCGAAAACCAAACGGCGCCGAAAACAAAAAGAACGCCCAAAACCAAAGAGGCGCCGAAAACCAAAAAAGGCTCCGAAAAACAGCGGGGCGCCGACAACCAAAGATGCGCCGAACACCACACGAGCGCCGAATCCAGAGCAGCGCCGAAAACAAGAAGGGCATCACAAACAAAAACGGTGCAGGCAACCAAACGAAAAGCGCCGAACACAAAAAGAGGCGCCGAAAAACGGGCGTCGAAAACCAAAAGGAGCGCCGAAAACCAAAGGGGCGCCGACAACCAAAAGGAAGCCGAAAACCAAGAGGGCGCCGAAACACCAAAGGGGCACCGATGTCTAAGAGGGTGCCGAAAACGAAAGGGGCGCCGAAAACAACAGAAGCTCCGAAGGTGGACAAGGCGCCAAAAACATAAAGGGTGCCGAAAACCAAAGGGGCAACGAAAGCCGCAGGGGCGCCGAAAACCAAAGGGGCGCCAAAGACCAAAAGGGCGTCGCAAACCAAAGGGCGCCAAAAACCAAAGGCGCCCCCGAAAGCCGACGGGAGCCGATAACCGAGTTGGCGCCGAAAACCTAAGAGCGCCGAAAACCGAGAGAACGCCGAAAACCCAAAGAAGCGCCGAAAACCAAACGCGCCGAAACCAAAGAGGGCGCCGAACACCAAAGGGGCGTCGCAACCCAAGAGGGCGCTGAAAACCAATGATGCGCCGAAAGCCAGAAATGGCGCGCAGAACACCAAAAGGGGCGCCGAAAACCACAGCAGCGCCGAAAACCACAGGAGCGCCGAAAAACAACGGAGCGCCGAAAACCAAAAGGGGCGCCAAAGGCCAAAGGGGCGCCGAAAACTAAAGAGGCGCCGAAAATCAAAGAGACGCCAAAAACCACAAGTACGCCGAAAACCAACGGGGCGCCGAAAACCAAAGAAGAAATAGCTTCGAAACCCCTCCTTCAACCAGGGCACGCCAGCTGGAAAAGCCAACAGAAGGAAGGAAGGGGGGTAGCTTTGGAAGCCCCCCCCTTTTGGAAAGTGGAGCCCGGGCTTACCCCGGACCACGAACAGGAGGGGGGGTAGCTTCCACCCCCCCCCCCATTTAGCCAGCGACTCCCTAGCTGAAAAATCCAAACAAAAGGAGGAGGGCTTCGGAAGGCCCTCCCCCCCTCTGAAAGGGGAGCCTGGGCTGACCTTGGGCTTCGGAAACGAAAGGGGGGGTAGCTTGGAAGCCCCCTCCTTTGGCTGGGGCCCCCTGGCTCCGAAATGCCCGCAGAAGGAAGGTAGGGGGGGTAGCTTCGGAAGCCCCCCCGCCCTTTTCCAAGGGAGGGGGGTAGCTTCAAGCTGGGGCCCCCATTTTAGTGAGAAGTGTGCCACGAGCGCGCTCCTTCCCAGATCTTCATTGACCCCGTTCGCCAGGTTTTCTCACCCATGCGCTCCCCTCCGCTCGCGAGCCTTGCATGGAGGGGCCAAACGCGCGCGCACCCCCAGAGCGACCGTGCCCCCCCCCCCCCCCCCGCAGGCACCGCAGGGGCCCCTCCCAGGGATGGGCGGAGGAGCCCAGGACACGGGCACCCAGACGCCCTCCGACCTGACTCTTGCAACGCGCAGTCCCAGAGCTCTTCCGACCTCCTCCCCAATCGAGATTTCGATGTGACCCCTCACCGGATCGGAAGAAAGCAGGGGGGAGAGTCGAGGCCGGCAAACACCGAAATCGAGATTTCGATGTTTCTTACATCTTGGTTTCGAACTCTTCCGCCCCCGGGGTGGACAGAAACCCTTTAGCAAAACGTGGCTCAGTGAAAACGACCTCGGGCCCAAACCTGGCGGGCGCAAGCCTGGAGAATGACGACCGCGGCGCCCCCTCGAGAACCGAAAACGGACCATTCACGAATCCACGTGTCAGGGTGGGGGCTCTGTCCACCCCCGACAGCCCTGCTTGACTACCTACCAGACCACCCCAACCCAACCCGAAGACCCGAATTTCGGGCTGGGCGGGGGGGTACGGGTTCCATACATCTGTGTTTCTACGATGTTCCCCGACCCCCCCCTGGAAATGCAGGGCAAACTCGAGCCTTCGGCTTGAGCTGGAGTGGCTTGGTGCGTGGCGACTGCTGCTGGCCCCCGGGGGCCGACCACGGCCCCGGGAGGCCGGAGCCAAGGCAGGGCGCGGCGCTGGCGGGGCGCGGCGGGCCGTCGGAGCCCTGGGCGGCGGAGCCGCCCCGCGGGCGCCCCCAGGCGCAAGGGGCGGCGGAGCAGCTCTCTTCCTGAGCAGGGCTCCCGGGGCGGCGGGAGGGAGGGAGGGAGGGAGGGAGGGAGGGAGGGAGGGAGGGAGGGAGGGGGGGGAGGGAGGGAGGGAGGGAGGGGAGGGAGGGAGGGAGGGAGGAGGGAGGAGGAGGAGGGGGAGGAGGAGGGGGAGGAGAGGAGGAGGAGGAGGAGGAGGAGGAGGAGGGCGCGCCGCCGCGGCTCTCGCTGGCTCGGAGCCTCTTTCTCTCGGCCGTCGCTCGCCCATGGGGGCAGGAGGGGGTCGGGCGTTGCCCAGAGAAGTGCCCCCGGCCCGGGGCGCCCCCAGGACGTCCCCAGGAGCCCCCCACGGCCTCCAGGGCACCCCTCGCGCGGCCTCCAGAGGGTCCCCAGGGGGGCTCCGGCACGGAGCGAAAAGCCGGGCCGAGCGACCCCCGCAGCGGTCTGCCTCGGGAGCTCCCCGCGGTGCCCCCGCGCTCGCCGCAGCGAGGCCGCGCGCGGGGCTGCGCGGGCCCGCCCGCCCTTCGGGGGCGGGCGGCCCTCAGGCGCTGGCGGACTGCGCCAGGAAGTCCTCGAGGACGCTGGGGCGCTCGTCCTGCGCCGGGGGCGCGCGGCGGGATCCGGCGGCGGTGCGTCGGATGGCTCTGGAAGCCTTCTGGGGGCGCTTCTGGAGGTCCTCCGCGGGGCGGCGCGAGGGGATTGGGCGGCGGTGCGTCGGATCGCTCGGGAGGCCTTCTGGGGGCGCTTCTGGGGACTCTCCGCAGCGCTGGCTGGACGACGGCGGCGTCGTCGCCGTTCTGAGGTCTTCAGAGGGGCTCTTCTGGAGGCTCGCGCCGCACTGGCGGGGCCTCGGAAGACTGGCCATGGGTGCCCGGGAGGCCTCCCCCCCCCGTGCACTCTCAGAGGCCGCCCCCCGCCCGCTCGCCCACGCTGCCCTTGGCACGCTGGGCCGCTCGTCCTCCACGACGTCGGCGGCGACCGCCGTGCCCTCGATGCCGCTGTCGTTGATGTCGCGCGCGATGCGGAAGAAGCCGCCCTCGCCTGGGAGAGGGCGCCGGCTGCACGAGGGCCCTGCCCTGGCTGGGCTCATCCTGAGCCCAGGAGTGTGCCTGGCCAGGACAGGGTGTAGGGACATAAGGCAAGCTCTCGACGCGATGACGCGGTCGTTGGTTCCTGACACCGCGTGGACCGTGCAACCTTGAGGAAGATCGCCGCTGTGCGACAAGCGAGGTCGTTGAATACTGGCCGAGTTCAAGCGAATGCTGGAGCTCAGCCGTGAACGCCCGCGCTGGCGTCGCTGCCGCGTCAGCGCGGCGCGGGCCCACGGCGGCTGGCGTCCCCGATCGCCCCACGAGGAGCCCCACGAGTTCTGGACGACCCAGTACTTCTGGCCGAGCTCCTCGCCCCAGCCCACGAGGAGCACCGCGTGGTCCTCGCCCCAGCCCACGAGGAGCACCGCGTGGTCCACCTTCTGCCACTCGGTGGAGCTGCGCCGGAGCGGCGCCGGTACCCCGACGTGGGGGTCGGCGAAGATGCCGCCCGCGTAGTACATGAAGTCCTCCGAGGGCTCGAAGGCGACCACCACGGGGCCGTGGTGGTACAGCTCCAGCATCATGTCAGCTGGGTTGGAGCCGCCGTAGAAGCCGCCGACGTACCTGTAGTTCGCCGCGCGGTAGCGCTTGCTCAGCTTCTTCACGTCGCAGGAGACCTGGCACTTGCCTTCCGTGTCATACGGGGCACACGACGCGGGCAGGAGCCCCACATCCTCCGACCACTTGGCGGTGAGCTCGGGGTAGCCGCCCTTGCAGCCCTGCGTGTACTCGGAGCAGTGCAGGGGGAAGCTGATCGACCACGGCTCGAGGGTGGTGTCGTTCATGCGGATCTTGTGCCTGGTGGTGAGCATCCGCATGGTAGACACCATGTAGCAGCTCCCACAGCTGCCCTGGTCCATCACGGGCTCCACGAACGTCTTGCCGTTCTGCGGGCGACTCCAGTCGAACTCCTGCGGCAGGGCGGGGGCAAGGGGCAGGAGAGACGGGAGAGGAAGAGTGAAGGGGTGCTGAGCGGGGCGCGGATGGCTGAGGGTGAGGGGTGCTTGGGCCAGGGGGGCAAGCGCAAGGAGAGGGAGGGCGCGACACCAGGAAGAGGGGGAATACGTTGAAGGGGGGAGGGTGGGCCACACGAGAAAGGATGGAAAAGGGATTGGAGGGGAGGGAGGGCAGGGTACAAGGGGGACGGAGGCAGGGGGGGGGGGGGGGCACGATGGAGCGGGGTGCGAGGGGAGAGGGGGGGGGAGAACCTCCCCTTCCTGCAACCAGCCAGCCAACCAGCCCAACCAGCCAACTAGCCAGCTACCAGACCGAACACAATCCAACCAAGCCAACCAGCCAACCACGCCAACCAGCCAGCCAACTAGCCAGCAAGCCAACCAGCCAACCAGCCAGCCAACCAACCAGCTAGCCAACCAGCCAAGTCGACAAACCAGCAAACTATAGTCAGCCAGCCAACCAGCTAGCAAACCAGCCAACCAGCTGGCCAGCCAACCAGCGAGCCAAACTGCAAGCCAGCCAATCTGGCAGCCAGCCAGCCAGCAAGCCAGTCGGCCAGCCAGCCAGTCAGGCAACCAGCCAGGCAATCTGGCAGCCAACCAGCCAACCAACAAGCTAGCCAACCAAGCAGCCAGCTAGCCAGCACTGCTGTAAGCTTTTAAGAGGAACGTGTGCGGCACTACTGTGAGAGTTCAATTTGGAAAACCACTCGCCCTCCATCCTTGTAGCTGTTGGGCTCTTGCAAGCGACTGTGCCTGGCGCCAAGGCGAGAACAGCATTTTGAAAACCACGGGCCCCAATCCCTGCAATGCGGAGGTGGATATCTGTCCAGAATTCTCAGACGAAACGCCCTGCAAGACCTGCGGACGCGCTTGGTGGTACGACCGGGGGGGAGTTGTTTACAAGGAGGCGGGGTGGAGGAAGGGGGGAGGGAACGGAAAGGCAGGGGCGTCGACCTGGCCCGCCTTAACGACGTCTACTCGGCCGCAGGCACAACCATGCCTGGGCAGAGGCGTCACCGCTTCCCCAGACCTACCCCACCGCGGCTGAGATTGGTGTACTCCTACTTCCGAGCAGCAATCGTTAACAGGGGGGGGGGGCGGGGGCAGGCCGCTGCAACGCTTCGGCGGGGTGGCGCACCTCGGGGCGGGGGTGCGCTGCGATCGTCCCGGTCTGCGCGCAAACACCACGCTACGCCTGCGAGCGCAACGGGGGCCTGCGATTCGACCGCCTGCGCAAAGCCTGAGAGCACCAGCGCGGGGCGCCCGCGAGCACCAGCAGGGCGCCTGCGGAGCACCCGCAGATAAGACAACATGCTCTCGGGCACCAACATGTGTGTGGGGGGGGGGGCGGTCCAGCCCGCCCCCACGCACGACCGTCACCGTTGTGCGGGGGGGGCGGGGGTTCGGCTCGGGTAACGACCGCGACACGTCAGAGGATAAACACTCTCCTGGGCGGGAGAAGGAAGCCCTTGGCCTGTCCGGGGCCGGGAGGGGGACGGGGGCCCGACGTGCAGGCCGCGCGCAGATCCGCGCCAGCGCGCCCGAAGGGCAATCCGGGCGCGATCCTGCGCTGGCGCGCTCACCCAGTTGTGCGCGCAAGCACGCCTTGGCCAGCGCGCTCTGGCGGGCAGTCTCGCAAAACGTCGGTGCCCGCGTGCAGGGAAGGCGCGTCGTGGGAGCGGCCCCGGAGGCTGCTGGGAGCACCGGTAGGCACTTTGCGAGCAGTGGAACGCGCTCGGTGAAGGAAAAAACTGTGCATCGACAACGCTCGGACGACAAAGAGTCGAATTCCCCCCGCCTCCACCCCCGGCCTTGATACTGGAATGCGTTGCGATCGAGATCTCGGGTTCCGATTTTTTCCGGCCGCTCATCTCCAAGGCCAACTGCTCAACATTGAGGCCAGAGGGTGCCTGGGGGGGAGGCGTATTCGAAGTGGTCCCCCAACTCCTGGTGCAAAGTTGTTCCTTCAAACGGTATGATGCTGGGATCTCCGATCCCTCGAAAGACTCCTGACGCGGGCAGGGCGGCCCCTTCGCTCCCCAGGAATCATTCGGGCCACTCTTGATGGAGGACTCTGTGATCTCAAACGGAATCGGAAACGACTCCGCCATACATATACATAATTATTCCTATTCATATATTTTAGAAGGCCGGGGACCCTGGAAAAAGCGCCCCCCCCCCCCGCCCCCAACGAATTCTGCCCTCCCCGAGCCTCGAGGCAACCCGGGAGAATCTCACGAGAGCCCGAAGACGGGACGGCCCCGGACGGGTTCCAGGCATTCCGGCGCGCTCACGAAACGACCCCAGAAAGCCCGAATACGGTCCACGACGACCCCCAAGAAGCCGCCATACCCCCAGAGATCGCTCCGAAACGTCCCAAGAGGCCTCCACGAGCACTCCAAAGAAGGCCCCCACGAGAACAGAACAGCGAACAGCCATTCCAGCACACGAGCTTCTCGGCTGGAGCGAAGGGGCGGAGAGCGTTCAAATCTGGGAGCGCACCGTTCTCAGGATAGCCGGGGTCGGAAGACGAGAAAGACGTGGAAGGCGATCAGGAAGAGGAGCTGGTGGAGCGAGCGCGAGAGACTGGGCGAGAGGCAGCAACAGCCTGGCACAATCTAGAGCTCATTCTTCGACTGGTGACCCTCTTCCTGCATAGATCCGCCGTGTGCGCAGCGGTCCCACGACCAGACGCACCACCGTCGACAGGCCCAGGAACACTACATGATCGAACTGGCAAGGTTAATTTCTATATGGCAACCTCGATCCACGGCTTCACGGTGGCTGCATCGATGCCGATCTGTTCGAGCTCCTCCTGTTGAGGATGGAGTACGGACTGTTCTTTACCGGATGCCTACAGCTGGATCAGCAAGTGGACTTCACCGTCTTGCAAGTGGACTTCATCGTCTTGAATGAGGAAGAGCGTGCCCTTGAAGCCCTGATTGCCGAGCCTCATGTTAGTGGTCCACCTCTGGGTCGTGACCAGGTGTCTTGATGCGCTCCCACTGGAAGCCGAGGATGCGGTTCCTGCGCTTCATGTGTGCACCATGGCATCCTTGCGCGCCCGGAGCGAAACTAGTTGGCCAGATTCGAGGGGCAGCCATGTGAGTCAGCCTGCGCGAACAATCTCCACAACGACGTTCGCGTATGTGGCGTCCTTGAAGGTCACGCTGTAGCTATTCTGGAGATTGTAACCTTTTGGCAGCTGCATCTTGATGAGCTCTCACCACAAGGGCTACCAATACTGACTGTCCTTGCACCTCCAATACCCGACCGAGAAGACCGCGTGGGAATCCTCGAAACTTTCAGAGGAGCGGGCGTCACCTCAGGCCTTGACGAAGCAGGAGAGCTGATACACGGAGTGGAAACAGACGATGGGGCTTGTATTTTCTTCTGGATGGTGGCGGTCTTTGAATCCATAATGGTCTCGATCGCGGTCTTCTGAACGTCGCTGAAGTCCTGCAAGGCGCCAGCTTCGTAGTTGTTCGTGCGAACGGTGGGGATCTCGATCTTCCTGTCATGCTCCTCGAAGGCGGACTTGAGGTGACGAACGTCGTCCTTCGTCGCCGTGTGGTCCTGCATGTCGGTCTGCGCCTTCTGGATGCCGTCGAGCATGGTGAGCATGCGAGAAATGTTATCGTCGACCTGACTGCATTTCCCCCAACCGCGTTCTTGCCAAGACGAGCGAGCTTCCGGGGCTGGCTGTTTTTCTCGACATCAGGTCCATTTGTTTTTTCCGAACACGGGGGCTAAATCTCCTGGGCTCATCGAGGACTGGACAAATGCGACTCGCTCGAACGTGGCTCACGGTTGCAGGGCAGCTAACCGTGAGGATCGTGGGGAGAAAGACAATAGTGGTCTAGCCGCGGAACAGATGTACCCACGGGGTCCCCAGGGAAACCACCATCTCGAGCCAAAATGGCTACGGAGGAGGAGGAGAAAGAGGAGGAGGAGGACGACGAGGAGGAGAAGCGACTGTAGCAGAGAGCGCGAGACTCCCGACAGGCGGCAGACTAGCGGAAGAGCACGGCGCTCTGCATTGAGCGACGCTGCCAAAACGTTAAGCGAAGAATCCTCTACCAACTGTTGCTTTTTGTTACTGTGGGGAGGAGGAGGGGGGGGAGGAGGAGGGGGGAGGAAGGGGAGGAGGAGGATGCCTCATGGGGGGCCGATAGGGCACTCCTGCGGCAGGGCGGCCTCCGTCTTCGCGACCGCGGGGTCGGCGGGCTGCGCGAAGACCTGGAGCTGCCTGCGAGGCCGGCCGCCGCCTCGCCCAGACCCTCTGGGACTAAGCCTCCTCCTCCTCATCCTTTTCTCCTCCTCCTCCTCCTCCACCTCCTCCTCCTCCTCCTCCTCCTCCTCCTCCTCCTCCTCCTCCTCCTCCTCCCCCTTTTCCTCGAGAACGGGGGATTGTGGAGCCCCTCGGGGTTGACGGCGCGCGCGCGAGGCTTTCACACTGGATTCGCGCGTGTGTCTTTCAATGCTCGGTGTGCTCTGTAGCGTCCTCTTCTCTCCCCCTCCTTCGTCCTCTCCTCCTCCTCCTCCTCTCCTCCTCCTCCTCCTCCGCCTCCTCCTCCTCCTCCTCCTCCTCCTGAAAAGAATCAATGCAGGTTTGGGCGTTTTTGGTATGCCCCCCTCCCCCCCCCCAAAGAAGAAAACTGGGCGTATTTGTTGGGGGGGCAGAGGAAATTCCTCTCCCTCCTCCTCCTCCTCTTCCTCCTCCTCCTTTCCCCCGAATGTAGTTTTTTGCTGTTGAGATGTTTCGAAAAAATACCCCGCTTGGCATTGCATGGACATTGGTTTGGCCATGGTTTGGCATCGCATTGGCATCGCGTTGGCATAGCACTTGGCAGTTCGTTGGCATTGCGCTTGCATGTCGCAAGTCTTGCGCTGGCGGGTCCCAATGGAACCCTCACGAAGAGGACTCATATTGAAGCCCTCTACCAGAAGGATTCCGATTGAAACCACCCTCCAAAAAAAAGGTTCATCCATATTGAAATCCTGAACAGTGGGATTCCCTGCGAAGCCCTCCACAAACAAAAAAATCCGACCGACAGCTATCACACATGCTTTCCCCCATCGGCATTGCATCGGCATTGGATTAGGACCACCTTGGCACTAACTTGGCATTGCGTTGGCTTTGCTTTGGCATTGCGCTGGCGAGTTCCAATAGCTCCCTTCGCAGCCCAACACGAAAAGGATTTCGATTTAACCATTCCACAAGAAGGGTTCGCATTGAACCCATCCGAAGCCCTCCATAGAAGGAGTCCTACTGAAACCGACAACAAGATATTTCCCCCAGGCATTTCATTGGGATTGGGTTGGGGCTGCCATAGCATTGGATTGGCATGGCGTTGGCACTCATGTGGCGTTGCGCTGGCGAGTTCTAATGGCTCCCACCATAGAAGGATTCCTGTTGAAACCTTCCGCACGAAGGGTTCCGTTTGAAAGCCCCCGCCTGAAGTGTTCAAGGCTCAACCCTCCACATAAGGATTCCTGCCGAAACCCTCCACAAAGAGATTCCGATCGACATCCTCCGACGAAGGATCCGTAACCAAATCATCCACATCAGGACTTCTGTTGGGATCTGTTGAAAGACTGGAACCACGCCATCGGTATTGCATTGGCATTGGTTTGGTAACGGTTTGGCATCGCATTGGTATTGCGTTGGCATTGCGATGCCATAGCGCTGGCGAGTCCCAACCAAACGCTCCACATAAAGGATTCCGATTGAAGACGTCCACAGGGATGGTGCCTACGGACCCCCCACAATAAGGATTCACATTGCACCCCTCCACCAAACAAGTTCCATGCGAATCCCTCCACAAAGGGATGCCTATTAAAATCCTGCGAAGAAGGGTCCTTCGAAGGATTCCTGTGTGGACGACAGCATCCACAGAAAAGGTTCTTAGAAGGATTGATACTGAGCGCTACCACACGCAATCCACCCCCACTGGCGTTGCATTGGCATTAAGTTTGGATCGCCTTGGCGTTGGTTCGGCATTCCGTTGGCACTGCGTTGGCGTTGCGCTGGCGAATCCTCATGCCCCCCTTCGCAGAACGATTCCGAGTGAAACCCTGTACAAGTAAGATTCCTTTTGGAATATGTAACAAGGGGTTCCCCCTCCTTGGCATTGCATTGACATTGGATGGGGACCGCCTTGGCATTGGTTTGGCATTGCGATGGCACTGCTTCGGCATTGCGTTGGCATTGCGCTGGCGAGTCCTATGGCTCCCTCCGCAGAAGGACTCCTACTGAACCCCCCACAAAAAGAATTCCTACTGAAACCCTCCACAGGAGGATCCTTATCGAAACCCTCCACACAGGCATTCCTATTGAAATCCTCCGAAGAAGGATTCGTAATGCCACCGTCCACAAAGGATTCTGATTGATATCCGCCGAGCGAATGTATTCCCCCATTGGCATTGGATTGGGCATTGCTTTGGCATTGTGTTAGCGCATCCTTGTGCCTCCTTTCGCACAGCGGTTCCTATTTAAACCCTCCAGAAGTAGGTATCCTTTTTAACATCTACCACAAAGGCCCCCCCATTGGCATTGCATTGGCACTGGATTGGGATCGCCTTGGCATTCGTTGGGCATTGCGAGAAAACTGCTTCGGCATTGCGTTGGCATTGCGCTGCCGAGTCCTGTGTCTCCCTCCGCAGAAGGACTCCCACTGAACCCCCCACAAAAAGGATTCCTAGTGAAACCCTCCACAGGAGGATCCCTATCGAAACCCTCCACAGAGGCATTCCTATTGAAATCCTCCGAAGAAGGATTCGTAATGCCACCGTCCACAAAGGATTCTGATTGAAATCCACCGAGCGAATGGATTCCCCCATTCACATTGCATTGGCGTTGGTTGGCAATGGGTTGGTATCGCATCGGCATGCGTTGGCCTGGTGCAGGAGATAGACAGAGAGAAACAGAGAGAGAGAGAGAACACGAGATACAGATATGACGAGAGAAGCATAGTATGAGAAGATCACGGCGAGCAGAAAAATTGTAAACAACATGTATAAATATGAAAGAGCGTCCCACTCGAGAAAAACCAGATCAAAACGACGAGGGGCTCCACAATCCCCCGGCCTCGAGAACTCATTCTCCTCCTCCGTCTCCTCCTCCTCCTCCGCCTCGTCCTGCTGAGGCTGGTGTTCCTCCTCATCCTCCTCCTCCGCTTCCTCCACCGCCTCGTCCAGCTGAGACTGGCGTTCCTCCGCCTCCGCCTCCTCCGCTTCCTCCACCGCCTCGCCCAGCTGAGACTGGCGCTCCTCCGCCTCCGCCTCCTCCTCCTCCTCCTCCTACTCCTCGTCCTCCTCCTCCTCCTCCTCCTCATCATCATCATCCTCCTCCTCCGCCTCGTCTTGCTGAGGCTGATCCTCCTCCTCCTCCTCCTCCTTCTCCTCCTCCCTACTCGCTTCCTCCTCACTCAACCCTCACTCACTCCTCCCTGAACTTGCTTCCTCCTCCTCCTGCTCCTCCACCATCCTCCTGCATCCCTCCTCCCTCCCTTCCTCCCTGACTCCCTCCTTCCCTCCCTCCCTTATTTCGCGACGGAGCGAGTCGATCTTACATGGATGCGGGACCCGTAGCTCATGCACGTGCCTTAATCAAAGCTTGCGTTTCCTCGAAAGGTTCCGTGCGCAGCCAGGCAGCCAGGGGAGGGCCGACGCACCCGAGACGCAGGACGCCCGCGTAGATCGTCGTCGTCGTCGTCGTCGTCCTCGTCGTCGTCGTCGTCGTTGTCATCGTCGGCGTCGTCGGCCTAGTCGCCGCCCTCGTTGCGATCGTCGTCGTCGAAGGCCTTGTCGTCGTCGTCGTCGCGGTCGTCGTCGTCGTCGTCGTCGTCGTCGTCGTCGTCGTCGTCGTCGTCGTCGTCGTCGTCGTCGTCGTCGTCGTCGTCGTCGTCGTCGTTTTCGTCGTCGTCGTCGTCGTTGTCCTCGTCGCCGTCCTCGTCGTCGTCGTCGTCGCTGTCGTCGTCGCTGTCGTCGTCGTCGGCATCGTCGTCGACCTGCTTGTCGTCGTCGTCGTCGGCGTCGTCGTCGTTGTCGTTGTCGACTCGTCGTCGTTCACGTCCTCGTCCTCGTCCTCGTCCTCGTCCTCGTCGTTCTCGTCGTCGTCGTCGTCATCGTCGTTCCGGTCCTGGTCTTGGTCCTGGTCCTGGTCCTCCTCCTCCTCCTGCTGCTTCTCCCGCTCCCTCTCCTCCTAGTCCTCCTCCTCCTCCTCCCCTCCTCCTCCTCCTCCTCCTCCTCCTCATCATCATCAGCACCATCATCATCATCATCAGCATCATCATCATCATCATCATCATCATCATCATCATCATCATCATCATCATCATCATCATCATCAGCATCATCATCATCATCATCAGCATCCTCCTCCTCCTCCATCCTTCCGCCGGGCCTCATGGTTCCCTCGCGCTGCAGGTACCATTCGAGGGTCCAGGCCTCACTCGACACTCGACGCCTGGACCTCCGAGCAGGAAACCATCTGGCGTAGCAGAACGGCGTGCAAAAGAGGGACAGGATGTCAGATGTGGCGGGAGCGTGCCTTCCATGTCCCCCCCCTCTCTCCTCTCTCCTGCCCCTCCCCCGCCCCCTCCCCCTCAAGGGGTAGGATGTCACATCTGGCGCGAGCGCACCTGTCTTGCCCTCGCATCTCCCCTCCACCCTCTCTCTTCCCCCTCCCGACGAGGGCCCGCTTCGGCTTCAAACCCGTTTCGGCTTTCGGCCCGTTTCCGCGTCGGCCCGTTTCGGCGTCGGCCCGTAACGGCTCGGGCCGGAGCCGGCACTGTCCAGGCCGAAGCCCACACGGGCCGAAGCCGAAACGGGCCGCGAAGCCGAGACGGACCGACGACGGACCGCGGGGGTCGAAACGGGCCGGAGCCGAGACGGGCGGGAGCCGAAAGCGGCCTCAGCCCCGCCCCCCTCTTCCCTCCCGCGAGGGCGCCGAGGGGGCCGGAGCCGCGCCTCCTCAGCTGGCAGGGCTTCAGCCCGCGCTGCCCGTCGAGCAGGAGCCTCGGCAGGACGTCGTCCGGCTTGCTGCGCTGCAGGGGGGGCAGCTCCTGGCGCCGGGCCCCCCCGTGGGGCGAGGGGAAGCCGCGGCGGCCAGGCGCTCGAGCGGGCGACGGCCGAGCGCGTCGGAAGCGGAGAGGGGCGCACACCAAGCGGTTCCGCCGTCGAGGGCTCCTGCCGCGGGGCGGCTGGGAAGTTTGGCTGCCCGTAGGGCGGCACGTCGGGGTGCAAACTGCCCAGCCGCCCTTTTGGCAGGCGGCCCCGACGGCGGAATCTGTGTTTTGTATGCCGTCCTTCGTCCCCCAAAGCTCGGTCGCCCTGGGTCCTGGCGCTCGAGCTCGAGCTCGATCGTTCGACGAGCGTCGTCGACGCTGGTTCTGACGCACGTCCATGGGTGAGTGCGAAGGACAGCGGCAGAGGTGGCGGAAGCAGCAGCAGGAGGAGGGGGCGGAAGGGGAGAGGAGGCAAACGGGGGGGGAAGGGGAGGGAATCCCTTGGTGTGCAAGATCGGCTCCAATCGAGGATGCGGGCATGACACTGCAAGGGCAGGATACGTATGTCACGGGGTACGTCTTGGAGGCGGCGCGGAACAAGCAGGGCCCACAAGCCAGGCTGGTGCGGGACGCCGGAAAAAGAGGGGCAGGAATGGGAAGATGAGTTAGAGGAATAGGAGGGCGCATGAAGTGGATGAGGACTGATAAAGAGGAAGGGCGAGATACGATGAAAACAATAACGTATAAAGGGGAGCAGGAAGAGGAAAAGGAACAAGCGTTCAGACGAGGAGCATAAGGAGGCGAGCAGCAGCAGCAGCATAATCATGAGAAGCTGCACAAGCAGCAGCAAAACCAGCAGCGGCAGGAGGAAAGGGAGAGGCAGAAGGAAAACAAATTAGAAGCAGAGGAGGAAATAAGGAGGACGAGGAGGGAGGCAGAGGAGGAGGAGGAGGAGGAGGAGCAGGAGGAGGAGGAGGAGGACAAGGAGCGTATCCAAAGCATGAGCTTGCCAGATTTTAGCTCCATGAGGGGCCCACTGCTGTTGGCCGCACCCAGCGTGCATGGTTCGCCTCCTCGCGGGTCAACGCTCTTGCTGCCCTGTCTGCCGCATGCCACGAACAGGCCAGGCCTCGAAAAGACTCGTGAAGGGCGAGCTCGGCCTCGGAGCCAAGGTCTGTCGAGTCGCCGCTTCCGTGAGGCTATGAGCCTGCGCGCCGCTTACGAGTGGCTTCGGCGCGACGCAACCTGTCATCCCGCAGGCCGTGCGCAGGAGGACAAAGGAGCGGGCGGCGCCGGCTCCGCCCGACGGCCGCGGCGCCGTGGCTTCAGCGCTCGCTCCCAGGGGGGCGACGGGGGGGGGGGGCCGCGGGAACGGCTCGAGCACTCGGGCCGCGGGCCCGCCCGGAGCCTGATCTTTCTGTCGTCGGGTACCGGCATCGTCGGTTGCTCCTGGGCCGGCTGCACGCAGGAGCGACGCTGGGCAAGAGTGCGCGGCTTCAGGGGGCCGCTGGGGCGGCCCAGTCCGCGCAGTCCAGGCGCGCTGGCCAGTGCTGGCGGGACCCCGTGGTCCCGCACTCGAGGTCACTCCGGCGAAGGGTCACCGTTGCGCGTGGCCGACCAGGGTCGGCCCCCTGCCGTTGAGCGACCTCCGGGAGAGCCGGCCCAGAAGCCTCAGGGTCTCGAGGACTGGTCGGGCACGCTATTGGCGCCGCCGCGCCGCGGGGGGTAGAATGTCTGTGAGAGGCTTCGTGTGAGTGCAGGGCACGCGGATACGGTGAGGAACCCAGGCGCAACGTGTCGCGGCGGCGACCCTGGCGGCACGCCATGCCCTGCGAGCTGACGGCGCGTCGCTCCGCTACGCAGAGCGGGGGGCGGGGAAGAGCTCTCGGGGCGTGGAGGCTTGGAGACGGGGGCGCGTGCTTGGCGCGTCGTGCCGACGCGTGGGGCGGCACGCGGAGCAAACGCTCCTGGCCGCAGGTCCCTGCACACTGGACCGAGAAAGATGCTCTTGCCGCGGATTTTTTTTGGTCTGCGGGTCGAGAGCGAGCCTCTTCCGGTTCAGAGCTAGGCGGGCCGCGCAAAGCACTAATTGGGGAGACAGAGCACAGGCGGGCGGGGCCTCAGGCGGCCGGAGGGCGCGGGGTGCAGGCGGTGCTGGGGAGCTTGCACAGGAGAAGGAACGCCTTGGACAGGAGCGGGAATCTTGCCGCGGACAGGCAGCGCCCGCGTCTTACGCCCACCGGCCGATGTCGCCGCGGGGCACCGTGGCTGCAGAGCGGCAGGGGGAAAGAAGGACGTCGAGCAGGAGGAGCAGGACAAGGGTAAGACGGACGATGAGAAGGAGAGGGCAACGACGACGACGACGATACTTACGACGATGTGTACGAACTAGACAGGAATGAGGAGGAGGACGAGGAGGACGAGAAGGAGATGGACAAGGAGTTGGAGCAGGAGCAGGAGGGCGACGAGAAGGACAAGGATGATGAGGTTCAGGAGACGGACGAGGACCAAGAGTAGGCGTAGGAAACGGACGAAGGTGAGGAAAAGGGTAAACATGCATGACTGCGTCTGCGTAAAGAATTCCGCGTGCCATCAGCACGAGCGTGCGTCTCAACGCAGACCTCTCCAGGTCTCCAGATGTTTCTAGAAGCCTATGGAGGGGCCCGGAAATCTCCAGTCGAAGTCCCCGGAGGCCTCCGGAGAAAACCACAGAGGCTCCCCCAAAGTGTGGAAACACGCAAAACCCTGAACCTTTCTCCAAGAGGCTCGAGCTTTTAATGGTTCCCCCACCTGGGCCTCGCTGAGGAGCATTCGGGGACCGCCGGGCTCGACCCGACCCTCATCCTCCCCCCTTCATCCTGCTCCGCCTTATCCTCCTCCTCCTCCTCCTCCTCTTCCTCCAACTCCTATTCCTCCTCCTCCTTCTCCTCCTCCTCCTTCTCCTCCTCTCCCCTTCATCCTCCTCGATCTTGTTTGACCTGCCTCAATCCCCCTCGAATAGGAGGTCGAGCACGTCGGGCCCTCCACCATTCGTCTCAGGGGCTCGGGAAGATGGGGGGTAATATGAGGAGGAGGAGGAGGAGGAGGAAGTGGAAGAGGAGGAGGAGGAGGAGGAGGAGGAGGAAGAGGAGGAAGAGGAGGAGGAGGAAGAGGAGGAGGAAGAGGAGGGGAGGAGGAGGAAGAGGAGGAAGAGGAGGAAGGAGGAGAAGGAGAAGGCGAAGGAGGAGGGGAGGAGGAGAAGGAGGAGAAAGGAGGAGGAGGAGGCGTAGGAGGAGGAGGAGGGGAGAGGAAAGGAGGAGGAGCAGGAGGTGGAAGAGAGGAAGGGAACGAGAAACACAAGGAAAGGAAGGGGAGAGGAGCAGGGGAGGAGGAGCAGGATGAGAAGCAGGAGGAGGAGGAGGAGGAGGAGGAGCAGGAGGAGGAGGAGCAGGAGGAGGAGGAACTGCCACTTGCCACGCTCACTGGAGAGCCCTGAGACGGCATAACAGACCTCCCAGCCCCTCCCGTCCGGACACGTGTCGGGCTGACTCAGCTGAAGCAGCGCGGCGCGCCCGTCGTGCGGCCTGCCGCCAGCGGACTCTTCGCCAGGCGATCTCCTCCTCCCTCCTCCTCCTCCT